GGGTCACGAGTAGGATTTTCATTTCGTATTTTCGTTTGTCGTTCGGAATCCTACTTCATCTTGTTTTTTTTAATTTTTTATGTTCTTGTTTGTGTTGATTTTTTAATAATATTTCGTATTTTTGTTGGTCATTCGGAATCCTACTTCATTTTAAAAATTTTTTTTATGTTCTTGTTTGTGTTGATTTTTAAAATAATATTTATAGTATTTCTTTAGTTGCAATTGTGATACTTGTTGATTTTACACAAACAATAATTTTATTTATTATTATTATCATTGTTATAACATTTATGAGAGATAGCATTGAATAGACATGCTGAAGGAATATCAACTATCCTGATGACAAGTGAAACTAATACTAGTCTTGACACAAGTCCTTGTTCAAGAATCTGTGAGCTAAGAGTGTCCATCTTCCCTGCTATTCCTGTCCTTCCAGGCTGTTGTCAAGTTCATAATTATCATTGCATATCATAAGTCATAACATTAATTAATTTTTTGTTTTTTAAAATAAAATAAAATAACACACTTGATAAAACAGTAACATGTAAAATCAATACCTTCTTTTAGCTGGAAACCTCCACTAAAGTATTGCAGTAAGTTGATTCGAAGCATAGCTTGGTAAAAGAATAACTTGCTTCTTCCAGAGCTGCAGATCTGAGCATGCGCGACCACACCCAAATTTTGGAGCACATGGCAAACTTCTTTAATTAACAAAATGGCGGCATGTAGCTAAGATGGCTCGATCCAGCAGTCACAGTATCACTTTTTCCTTACTTGAAGAATGATCTGATGGGACATGGACCTGCGCATAGACTTTTGGAGTAGATTGGTGTAAGAATTATCCTTGTAGCACCAACCAATACTGAGATACACACCGACAACTGGATTGACAGGACTTGATGATGATGATGATGAAGATGATGATGAAGATGAAAAAAGGTGGCTGAACAAAACGGCCAGTTCGCCGATTTTTGGCTTTTCTCTTAGACAAGGTCTAGAGCCACGCTATGGGTACCATTGGAGTCCTCTGGTCAAGATGAGGTCCTCTTTAAAGTTTGGTAAGCATAGGAGCTCATTTTCCAGCCTGGTATAGCAAGGCTGCAAAAGTCGTGGCAGCCATTTTGTTTGGGGGTGAATCCTACTTAGTAACGCTACTGCGTTACTAATAGTACAGGGTCTTTGGTCCAATTTTTGAGCAACTTTTAAAAATTCATAAAAAATCTAATTTTGATCGGATTCAGCTTAAACTTGATATACAACAGAAATACATGTATATGCATCAGAAAATGTAATAAAAATGAAAAATTTTCTCCTAGTCATATTCATGAAATTTGGCTGTAGCAAAAATGGGCAATTAAACTAATTATATTTCTTTGAGAGTGTGGTGGGAAAATGGTCCCATACATGTACATGGGGGCATACCAGCATCTCAATTCATATACAATGTACATCACATTAAAACCTGATTGGTCTCTCCTCTCTTACCAGAGTGCACTCCAATAGCCATCGGTACTCCACCACAGGTGATGCTTCCAAGCTCCTCAGCTATGGCAATTGAGTAGGAATAGTCTAGCCCCAGTCCACCGTATTCTGGGTCTCGTGTAGGCCCGAGGAAACCTCCTTCCCCTAGCTTCTTGATGACAGAGTGAACTGGGAAGGAGCGGGCAGCCTCCCATTCGTCCACATAAGGATTTATTTCTTTTTCTATGAGCTTGTTTAGGGCTCCTCTCATTTCAACGTGTTCTGAGGTGAAGATGGCCTCGTCTGATATTTTCACATTAGATCTGAGCAATGGAGTGGCTGATAACGAGCGTATGAAGGACAGTGAGGGAGAACTTGTGAGAAAAGCCAAGGTACGATTAGTTGCTGTAGTAGCCATAATCTTGTTTCATAACCTATCCCAGTATCCCGTATAGATATCTCCGTAAATTATAATCACGTGTTATCACGTGGCCAGAGTGGTTATTGATTACTTTTGGAACTGATTTAATTTTAGGAACTGTTGACAAGTATTTTTACAACTTAATTATAAATCAACACAAAATTTGTTTACTATCATGTATAAGTCAATTAGCAAATTATCAGTTTTAGTTAATATGGATGCAAAGAATGAAAGTCTGAGTTGAATCCTGCATCAGAAATTGAGAATTTTTTCTTAATTACAGATGATGATACTTGTAAGGTAATAAAGCTACACTCCATTAATTTGAGCACAACATCTTCCTCAATTCTACTATAACTGAAAAAATGTTTCAAATGTCTCTTGCTATTGACAGCAAGAGCAGTAACAAAATCTGAAGTGAAGCTTATACCGCTATCAAGGCGAAGGTGAGTGAGGTTACTATACAGTGCAGGATCGACTGGTAGTGTGAGTTTTGCTTTGTCAATACAAAGAACTGAGAGCTGCTGGCAATTCTGAAGCACTTCTTTAAGT